GGGAGGGACCTGGTACTGGGTGGGGTACATTCCACTCCCCACTGGGTATCAGTAGCCCCACTTTCTGCCACAACTGCAGGAAAACAAACAAACAAACAAACACCTCAGCACAAAGTAAGAGGTGCATGGGGTTGGGGCCCAGCCCTTCCTGCCATGCTGGCCCAAACAGGAGAGAGTCCCTAAGACCCAGGTGCTTTGCTCTCCACCCCACTGTGACCAGAGGTGTGAGTCCCTGAGGTGAGTGGGTTCCTGGCCTATATGCTGGGTTGCAGACCTTCTGCACCTGAGTTCCAGGCAGCACCAGCCTGCTCACAGCACCTAGAGCTCATAATGGAGCAGCCCCTCCCCGCAACATCATATAATTTTGGCTCCAAGGGGAGAAACCTTCCAATTCATTTAAATTCTAATTCATTAAAACGAGAAGGTGCTGAGAAACTGTATATTTTTAAATAACCTCTCTGGGTGCCTTCTCATGCCTAAGACTGAGAGCCAATCTGTGCAGAGGAAGCATAACTTTACAAAAAGAAGCAGAGAGGGAGGGCCCTTTCTCCAGGCTGAGATTCTTCAGAGCAGGCTGAAAGCTTTGCTGGAAACTGGCACAGACAGTGGAGCTGAACAAGGCCTCCTAGCCCCCCACGGCTGCCCCTCCCTGAAAGTAACAACCCAAAATGTTATTAGACTGAAGGGATCCATTGGCTTGTGCACAGAAGGGCCCTGGAAGACATGAACAGGTGTTGACTCATTCTCTTTTCTCTCCTTTTGATGAAAACTGGCCTCATCCTGCACCCTGACTCGCCTGCTTCCTTTCCCCTTGCACAGCTTCTCCCTTAATCATGAAGCCCTCTAGACCAGTGTTTCCCAACCTTCTCTCATGATGAGAATCACCTGGTGGAGTTGTTAAAACACAGATTCCTGAATCCCAACTAAGAAGTGCTAAACTAGAATTTTTGGGAACATATAGGTAAAATTGTATACTTAACTAGTGCTCTAAGACAGATTTTATATACAGAGCACTAAGTTAGGTATGCAATTTTACCTGTATGTTCTCAAAAATTCTAGTTTAGCACTTCTTAGTTGGGATTCAGGAATCTGTGTTTTAACAACTCCACCAGGTGATTCTCATCATGAGAGAAGGTTGGGAAACACTGCCCTAAACTATCCAGGACCAATAAGTAGAGACCATGCCCTTGACTATGACTCTAACTCTCTTAATCACCATTATTAGTGATTCCTCCCCCCTTCCCTCCCCCCACATAACCTATCCCCTAGGAATCATCAGGAACCCAGCCTTTGAGCATTATCTCACCTGTTTCTCTGGGCATGGGCCACTTCTTAAAAATAAACTCTTAGGAAGTACAAAAATGACACTCTGGTGGTGGTGCTCAGGTATCTGTGTGCTGACATTTCAATTAATTTCTAAAAGCACAAAATTACTTCCATGCTTCTGAATATGGCATCCTATATAATAAAAGCCTCACATGCAAATTGTCCCCTCCACATGGAATTATACCTGGAGTTTGATTGCTCAATAATACCTACGCTGACCACCAGGGGGCGGTGCAGAACATGAAGGGCATGGGCAATATGTTGCAACATCTTGCAGGCTACCTGGGGGTGGGAGTAAAAGGGATGGAGGTGCAGGGAGAATGCAGGGTGTCTGCCAGAGCATGCTCTCACTCCCCCTATTATGCTCCCCTAGGACACCAGGGCTGGCCTGCAGGGGATGAGCCAGGCACCTGAGATGGCCTGGAGAGAGAGCACGGACTGCCTATCATCTGTGCTGTTCTGCTGGGTGGCCCAGAGGCCCACACTGCTCCCTGACCTGCAGTGTCCAGCACACTCACCATTTTTCAGCGTGAGACTCAGGTGGAGGCTAGTGGAGGCTCGAGTGGCCTGGTGCTGCCCAGGGCCCAGAGGTCAGCTGGGACCTGCCCTTCCATGTCAGACACTTGCACTTTGATTGTGGGCCAGCCAGGCCGAGGGACCGCACCCTTGCACAAATTTTGTGCATTGGGAATCTAGTCTTAAAAACTGTCAATGAGGTATTTCAGTGTCTGATTCTTGTGTTGTTATGTAACAGAAAAATAAAGGCCACGTTTCGTACCCAAGTCCTGAATCAATGGCACATCACAGAGAGATAGAGGTAGGGACAGAACACAGAAGGTAAGTCTTCATATTTCTGAAGAAATGTTTCTGTGACATGGCATTTCATGGGGAAGTGCTGAGTGGCTATGAGAACCATCCCTGACAAAACCCAAGATGGACACATTTATCTCAGAATATTTCTTTCCAGATTATGAACCCTCTCACCCAGTCTTCCCAGAAGATATGGGACACAGAGAGCCCCAAAACTGGTCATATCTGTAGCAGGTCTTGAAGAACCCCAGGGAGCATCTGAGCCACCACTTCTTCTGAGAAACCAGAGCCAGCCCCGCCCCCTCCACTGGTCTGCTAACAGGGACCTCAGTGTCTGAGCTTCTCCCTGTGAGCTGCTTGGTGCACAGGATGCCACTCCTGGAAGCAGTCATCTTCATCTCCCTCTGGGCTTGTGAGTTTCCCCATCATTTCAGTCTACCAGACAGACCCAAGAAATGCTCTATCATTACCTCTGGACATGTCATTTGCTCATGGAAGTTTATGTTCATTTTAATTTTTCTTGCAGTTGGCCTTGGGCAGTTGAAGTTGGAGCAACCTGAAATATCAATCACCAGGGCAAGGAGTGAGAGTGTCCAGATAACTTGTAAGGTGTCCTCTAGCACCTTTATAAGTGATTACATTTATTGGTACCGGCAGAAACCAGATCAGAATATAGAATATTTAATATACGTTTCCTCCACAGCCACTGTTTTTGGGAAGAACAACAAACTTATGGCAAATAAGTATTCTCAAACTTCCTCTTCCACGTTGACAATACATTTCTTAGAGAAAAAAGATGAGGCCATGTACTTCTGTGCCTGCTGGACTGGCAGACACTGCATTAGAGTTGCCAGGATCAGCTGCACAAGAACCATCTTCAGGTCTGTGCCCACCCACATCCTTCTCAAAATGTGCCACCACAGAGGCTGCACAGCTGGGCACCAGCCTGAGCTTCCCTCCCCACAGAACTTGAGTCATGTACTATGCTGTTTGTAACCAGATACTGGGACCCAGAAACTTAGCTAGAATGTGTAATGAAAGCCCAGCCACCCTGGCTCAGTGATTGACTGTCAGCCTATGACTTAGGAGGATGTTTGATTCCTGGTCAGGGCACATGCCCAGGTTGCTGGCTTGATCCCCAGCATAGGGAGTGCAGGAGGCAGCTGACAAATGATTCTCTCTCACCATTGATATTCCTATCTTTCTCCCTCTCCATTCCTCTCTGAAATCAATAAAAATATATATTTAAAAAAAGAAAGTTTGAGGGAAATGCTGACTTCAGAAATCTCAAAGGAACACCTGACCTATTGCTTCACCTTTTCACACCCTCCTCACACTCACCTGGACAGCCTGAGCCCTCACTTTTCTGCCTCCTCCTCGGTGACACAGTCTGGTAGACAGCAGGATGTCCCTGCTGGAAACATTTCCTCACTCTAAGCTTGTGAGTTGCTTCTGATTTATATCAACATGGATGAGAGATGAAAGCGATTTTTCTTGGTTTCCTGGCTCTATGTCAGATGTTCATGGGAATTTCCACTTTTTGTTTGCCACTGGACACGGGCCATTACAATCGTCAATTTTCAGAACAGGAGAAAAAGTGTTCATGTCTTGTATGATGTCCACTCAACATTTTGACAATAAGGTTATAGACTAGTATCAACAGAAACCAAACCAAATTGTATCACATTAGAAGTTAATCATCTCAACAAAAACCCCAGCTTCAGTCCAGTTAGCTAAGAAAAACAATAAGAAAATATTTTAATAATTCTACTTCAGTCTTGACCATAAACTTCATAGTCAAACATGTGGGAATTGACTACTGTGCTGGTGGGACCCACAGCACGAGAGGTGCCAGGACGCCCAATAACAGCCTCTTCTGGTTTCTGCCCCACCACAGCCCTCCTTCAAGGTGCAAACCCAACTAACTCCTGCCTGGGCTTCCAGCCTCCACCTCGCCTTCTCTGCTGCACATCTGCGTTTCCCAGGAAGCCAACAGTGCTCGCTCACATATTGGGCATTTTACTCAGACTTGCTTTAATAAATAACTGTGACTTATCTGACTTCCTCTGTCTCACAGATCTGGGTCTTTCACTTAATCACTTCTCTTTGCCACTGCTCTCAATGCCAAATGGAGATCATCATTACATCTACCTCACAGCACTGTTGTTGAGAGGATTAAATAAATAAGAAAACATTTAGAGTAATTGTTAATACCTTAAAATAACAATTTCTCAATAGATATTAAATGCCACATTAATTTTAAATCTTATTATTACACATGAAACATAATGTAGTTGTGAAAATGCTGCTGCGTGTGGGACAGTTATGTTGATGAGACAGCTCCGAGGTACAAAATGAGAAGCTGAGTTCCACGGATTGCTCCGTCTCCCATATCTGCCAGCAACTGCAGTCTAGTCCCTTCATAGAGGCACCCAGATGATAAATGAAATTAGGGTGCCCTGAGTCATAATCTGTGTGCTGACATTTAATTAATTTTAAAAAGCACAAAAGTATTTCCATGCTTCTGAATATGTCACTGAGGTATTTCAGTGTCTGATTTCTGTATTGTTGTGTAACAGAAAAATAAAAGACAGGTTTAATACTCAAGTCCTGGATCAACAGCACTTTATAGGAAGATGGGCTTAGTGGCTGAACATAGTAGACAAGTCTTCATATTTCTCAAGCAATGTTTCTATAATATAATTTTTTTTCATGGAGAACAGCTGAGTGGCTATGAGAACCATCCCTGACAAAACCCAAGATGGACATTTATCCCAAAATATATTTTCCAGATCATGAACCCTGTTGCCCACTCTTCCCAACACTTATTGGATACAGGGAGCCCCAGAACTGGTCATATCTGTAGCAGGTCATGAAGAACTCCAGGGAGCATCTGAGCCACCACTTCTTCTGAGAAACCAGAGCCAGCCCCGCCCCCTCCACTGGTCTGCTAACAGGGACCTCAGTGTCTGAGCTTCTCCCTGTGAGCTGCTTGGTGCACAGGATGCCACTCCTGGAAGCAGTCATCTTCATCTCCCTCTGGGCTTGTGAGTTTCCCCATCATTTCAGTCTACCAGACAGACCCAAGAAATGCTTTATTGTTACCTCTGGACATGTCATTTGCTCATGGAAGTTTATGTTTATTTTATTTTTTCTTGCAGTTGGCCTTGGGCAGTTACAGTTGGAGCAACCTAAAATATCGATTTCTTCAGCCATGGGTGAGAGTGTCCAGATACCTTGTAAGGTGTCCTCTAGCACCTTTAGCAGAGATCACATTCACTGGTACCGGCAGAAACCAGATCAGAGTATAGAATATTTAATATACGTTGACAACAGAGCCACTGTTTTTGGAGAGAACAGCAAACTTAAGGCAAGTAAATATTCTTCAATTTCAACTTCCACCTTGACAATAAATTTCTTAGAGAAAGAAGATGAAGCCGTGTACTTCTGTGCCTGCTGGACTGGCAGACACAGCGTTAGAGTTGCCAGGATCAGCTGCACAAGAACCATCTTCAGGTCTGTGCCCACCCACATCCTTCTCAAAATGTGCCACCACAGAGGCTGCACAGCTGGCACCAGCCTAAGCCTCCCTCCTCATGGAAATTAAGTCATCTACTTATTGTTTGTAACCAGCTTCTGGGACCCAGGAACTTAGCTAGAAAGCCTGGCCACCATGGCTCAGTGGTTGAGTATCGACCCATGACCTTGGAGGACATGGTTTGATTCCTGGTCAGGGCACATGCATTGGTGGCTGGCTGGATCCCCAGCATAGGGAGTGCAGGAAATAGCTGATAAATTATTGTCTCTCATGATTGATGTTCCTATCTCTCTCCCTCTCCATTTCTTTCTGAAATTAATAAAAATATATATTTTAAAAAAGAAAGTGTGAAGGAAATACTGACTTCAGAAATCTCAAAGGAACACCTGACCTATTGCTTCACCTTTTCACACCCTCCCCACACTCACCTGGACAGCCTGAGCCCTCACTTTCCTGCCTCCTCCTGGGTGACACAGTCTGGTAGACAGCAGGATGTCCCTGCTGGAAACATTTCCTCACTCTAAGCTTGTGAGTTGCTTCTGATTTATATCAACATGGATGAGAGATGAAAGCGATTTTTCTTGGTTTCCTGGCTCTATGTCAGATGTTCATGGGAATTTCCACTTTTTGTTTGCCACTGGACACAGGCCATTACAGTCATCAATTTTCAGAACAGGAGAAAAAGTGTTCATGTCTTGTATGATGTCTACTCAACATTTTGACAATAAGGTTGTAGACTAGTGTCATTAGAAACCAAACCAAATTATATCACATTTGAAGTTAATCATCTCAACAAAAACCCAAGCTCCAGTCCAGTTAGCTAAGGAAAGCAACAAATTTGAGGCAAGAAAACATTTTCAAAACTCTAGCTCAGTCCTGACCATAAACTTCATAGTCAAACACGTGGGCATTGACTACTGTGCTGGTGGGACCCACAGCACTAGAGGTGCCAGGACGCCCAACAACAGCCTCTTCTGGTTTCTGCCCCACCACAGCCCTCCTTCAAGCAAACCCAACTAACTCCTGCCTGGGCTTCCAGCCTCCACCTTGCCTTCTCTGCTGCACATCTGCGTTTCCCAGGAAGCCAACTGTGCTCGCTCACACATTAGGCCCCACTTTGAGCAGGAGGCATTTCTGACCATGATGTTCCCAAATCTTCATTCTACACGACTTCCTTGTGAACTGAAGTCTCATCTTGGAATGAATACACACAGGCCCCCATTGAGCATATCACCAGCCAAAGACCTTCACTAACGCAAAGACTCAGACTGAGGGAGCAATCATTGTGCACCAGCATGCCTAGATATGGTACATACACATTACCACATAGAATCATCGTCACACCCCAGCAATAGAACCATTTTTTGGCCCCTTTTAAAGACATTAAAGCTTTGAGAATTTAAGTATTTGGTCAAAGAGAAGAAGTCCATGTGTTTTTAATTGGGCCATGATACTACTTGAAAACATACATATCACAATTCTATAAGCAAAACACTGGAGGTAAATCTGGGATGGAGCAAGCCTCCTATTGCTGGGAGAGGAGGAAAACAGTTCCTCACTTCACATTCATGGCTGTAGGAACATGATGTCAGCAGAAAGGAGGTCAGAGCCATTGGGGCCATTAGATGAGCCTACCTTTCTGTGAGTGACTCCTGATTCTAGTTATGCAATCAGAGTGGGAATGGGCCAAGGGAAAGAGCAGCTAATAATTGGCTGTTTCGGAGACATTTCTGTTAGTGTTTTCAATTCTTTGTACACATGAACTTCTTCATCCTTCATAGTAACCTATGAAGTGTCTTCCATTATTGCTATGAGCCCCATTTTACTCATGAGGCAAGTGAGATATTTATTCTGTATCCCAGCAACCTTTCAAACACACACTGATATGACCAAAGTGGGGTTGGACCCATCTAATCTAGCTCCAGAGTCTGACTTCTAGTCCATAAAAGGATAAAAGAAATGCTGTGCATTGTTCCTGCACACATGGAGAAAACAAAACTAACCTTGGAACATTATTGACACAATTTATTATTTTATACTGAATCATGTGACCAGGATTTGAGTGATCTGGAATCTTCATAGAACACAAAAAAATGTCAATGTTATCAATTTATTTTTTAAAATGTATAACAAAAATACCATTATTTCATAATGCACCTCTGAAATAATTGTGAAACAAATGACTACTCTTTAATCTATACATTCTTCTTATCCAGTACATCCTGGGTACCCAAAGAAAGAATATGGACATCACCTTGCCTCTGTGCCATACACATTCCCGAATTTACTTGATCATTTCTAAGGTGGTGGCAACATATGCATCCACACCACCTCCTCTTCTAAGGAACCCGGTTCTAGTTCTCAATGCAGTAAGGCCATTGGACTAAAGATGGAGATTGACAGGAAAGGCTGACATGGAAACAGCAGCTCGGCCTTGCTCTTCCATCTCTGATGCACAATCTTTTTTGAGTACATCCTGTCCCTATGATTTCTGACCATCATATTCTCCCAGTGTGCACCCAATAGATTTCTTGAACTTACATAAGGCCTTACTGGTTATCTAAACTTTTAATAGGAGAAAAGGAAAGAGAAAGACCTGAGAGAAACAATAGCTCTAAGTCTAAATGAATCTGAGAACATGAGTCCTTTCATCAGGAAAGTACAGACAAGATTGTCAACATACTGTTGCTACCTTCTTCACATGGTTGTCTCATGTAGTCCTCAATAGACTTTCCAAAGCAGTGATGAGGTGTTGATAGTGAGACACTCCTGTGCTGAGAGCTTAGAATAAAAATCTCCAGCAGCTTTTTATACGTCAGACTAAATGGTGAATAATAGAGATAGAGATACCTGATTTACATTACACTCAATGGATAGACTATTATGCAGACATGGAAAACCATGACTTATGGATTGATTAGTAAAATTAAAAAATATTCACAATATAAGATGAAGAAAATTAATGAGTATATAGTAATCCCTGAACAATAACACTGTATTGTTAGAAGAAGAAGAAGAAGAAGAAGAAGAAGAAGAAGAAGAAGAAGAAGAAGAAGAAGAAGAAAAAGAAGAAGAAGAAGAAAACAGGGAAGTGAATTCTCTAAAACTATAAGAATTATTACTGAAGGACTAGGTGACTTTATTTTTTTCTATGAAATTTGAATAACTTTACATACTTTATTAAATGTGTTTATATGATTTTATCATAAAGTACTTAAAATAATTTTATCTTGTTAGATAATAATATTAATAAAACTTCATGACATCACTGAAGACTCTTGATACACCAGGTACTAATATTTGAGTGTTTGGTTATAATAATATAATGTTATAATGGAATCCTAGAATAGTTCTAAATGATACATATAATCAGGGTTTGATTCCTAGACAGGGCACACGTTCTGGTTGTGGGTTTGATCCATAGTAGTGGGCATGCTGAAGGCAGTGGATCAATGATCCACTCTTATCATTGATGTTTCTATCTCCTCTCCCTCTCTCTTCCCCTCAGGGGGTGGGGTGGGGGGTGGGGAAGGGATACATATACAGGCGAGGAACATGTGCGCAAAGAGAGATACAAAGTTCAAGTAAGCCAACACATGTCTGATAGTACCCTGTTTCCCCGAAAATAAGATAGTGTCTTATATTAATTTTTTCTCCCAAAGTTGCGCTAGGTCTTATTTTCAGGGGATGTCTTATCTTTCCATGCGCTAGGTCTTATTTTCAGAGGAAGTCTTATTTTCGGGGAAACACGGTATTAAGTGACATAGGAAGGTGTTAAATAATCTTTGGTTATTTTATAATACTCATGTTGATTTTTGAAAGACTTCCATAGTGATGAAAATAAAAGTTAGCCAAAAGAAGAGAATATAAAGAGAAATATTCATATCCTACTTTAAAATGTTTATTTATATACTAGAGGCCAGATGCAGGAACTTGGTGCAAGAGTAGGCCTTCCTTCCCCCCAGCCACTGGAAGGCACCTGAGACCCAGGCTTCCCTTGCAGCCCTGGCTTCATTCAGAAATTCATCTGGAAGGAAGTCGGGTCTAATTAGCATATTACACTTTTATTGTTATAGATAATACCAATTAATCCTATTTCTATTCATAAAGAAGTAGAGAAAGAGACAAAGTATAGAATGCGTGCCTTTTACTGTCATTATACAATATATATATAATTTTACTCAGACTTTCCTTAGTGAGCAACTGTTACTTATCTGACTTCCTCTGTCTCCCAGATCTGGGCCTTTGAATGAGTCATGTGTCTTTGCCACTGTCCTCAATGCCAAATAGAGATCATCATTATAGCTACCTCACAGCACTGTTGTTGAGAGGATTAAATAAACAAGAAAACATTTACAGTAATGCCTTACAAATAACTATTACTCAGTGGATATTAAATGCCACATTAACTTTAAAGCTTATTATAACATATTAGCCATAATTTAACTGTGAAAATACTCCTGAATGTGGGATAATTATGTTCATGCTCCAAAGTCCAGAATGAGAAGCTGAGTTCCATGAATTGTCCAGTCCCTTCCTGGAGGCACCCAGATGATAAATAAAATTTGGGTGCCCCCAGTTATAATCTAATTAAATTTAATTATATTAAAATTGGGGACACCTAATTAAGTTAAAAAGCAGAAAAGTCCTTCCGTGCTCCTGCATATGGCATATTAAATAATGTCGATGAGGCATTTCAGTGTCTGATTTCTAAGTTGATGTGTAACAGAAAAATAAAGGTCAGGATTCATACCCAAGTCCTGAATCAACAGCACTTCACAGAAAGATGGGCTTAGTGGCTGAACATAACAGGCGAGTCTTCATACTTCTGAAGCAATGCTTCTATGGCATGGTATTTCATGGGGAACAGCTGAGTGGCTATAAGAACCTTCCCTGACCAACCCAAACACAGAAACATTTATCCCAGAATATTTCTTTCCAGATCATGAACCCTCTTACCCAGTCTTCCCAGCACTTACGGGACACAGGGAGCCCCAGAACTGGTCATAACTGTAGCAGGTCACGTAGAACCCAAGGGAGCATCTGAGCTACCACTTCTTCTGAGAAAC